TTTGACCCAAACTTAGCCCAATATGCTTAAAATGGGTCAAAAATCAAAAATCCACCAAATTGATTAACCAATTGGCCTCAAAATGACTTTCACCCTTCATGAAAGTTGTTCCTCATGATCTACTACACCAAATTCTATATTTAATTGGGCCAATTGGCATGCCTAACCTAGCCCAAACACAAGATTTGGTCACATGCACCTTTTTGGACTTAAGATCAAATCTAACCCAATTGAGCTTGGTATGGTCAAATGAGCTCTACCATGACTATCCTTAGACCCTAGGGTTGAGTTCCACGCCAGCCATCAACCCATGGTTAGGCTTGATATTTATCCCATGGGTGAATTTTTGAAAAAAAGGATTTAAAGAGATAATAAGGGGGTTAAATCAATGTACTTGCCCCAACACATGTTTAAACCCTCAATGCAATCAATATCTCATCTAGATAGAGGAGAAGCAGAGTATAATAGTTACCGAAGTTTTTGATGAAACAACTGTGGTTTGTTTGGCACTTCAGTACCCATTTTCTGCCTGTCTCTGGTCTTGCTGCAAGCCATATAAACTTTTCTTGAATTTGCAGACCAAACCGTATTTGTATGGAACCTTGTAACCTTGTGACTGCACCATGTATAGCTCCTCCAAATCTCTATGTAAGAAAGTTGTCTTTACATCCATCTGCTCTAGTTGTAGATCTTTCACTGCTACCAGACTAAACACAACTCTGACAGTCAGCATCTTCACCCTTGGGGAGAAGATCTCTGTATAATCCACTCCTTCCTTCTGTTCGAAATCCTTCACAACAAGCGTTGCCTTGTAGCACGTGCTACCATCTGACTCCTCTTTCAGTCTGTAGACCAACTTGTTGTGCAGTGCTCCTTTGCCATTTGGTAGTACCGTCAAATCCCAAGTCTGATTTGACTCGAATGATTGTATTTCTTCATCCATGGCGAGCTCCCACTCACTTGAATTTTCAACTTGAGTGACCTCCTCAGAGCACTCTGGTTCATCACTATCAGTTAGTAATAAATTGCGTAAAGAAGGAGAATGCCTTTGTATGGGTTGTTTCATTCTGCTGAATCTTCTGACTTCTGTAGCTGGTGTCTGAAGAACTTCCAGCGCTCTTGGTTGAGCACTTCTTTTTTTTTATCCTCCTAATCATCTGTATCATCAATCTCCAAATATCTGGATTCAAAAGTAGCTGATGGATTGTATTGAGTTCTAACCTTATTCTTGTACACCTCCATCTTGTTGAAAGTGATGTCCCTGCTCCTGATGAATTTTTTGTTCTGATAATCCCATCTGAGTCATATCCAATTAAGATACACTTGATAGATTTTGAGTCAAGCTTGTTTCTAAAACATGCATCAACATGTACATGTGCAGAATACCCAAATACTCTTAAATGTGATAGACATATTTTTTGTCGCTCCAAGTCTCTTCAGGTAAGTCTTTCTTCAAAGGTACTGTTAAACGATTAATCAGATAAACTGTAGTGTTAATAGCTTCAGCCCAAAACTGTTTCGGCAAGCCCACATGCAACCTCATGCTCCTAGCACGCTCCGTGATTGTTCTGTTCATGTGCTCAGCCACACCATTCTACGGTGGTGTCCTTGGGGAAGTGAACTCATGTTTGACTCTCTCTGTAGCAGAATTTCTGATCACAATACTCACCCTCATTATCTGATCTGAGACACTCCAGCTTCAAGCCTGATTCATTTTCTACTATAGCCTTCTATTTCTTAAAGAGTTCAAATACATCAAATTTTTGCTTTAAGAAATAAACTCATATTTTTCGTGTGATCATCAATGAATGTGACAAAATAGCGAGAACTTCAATAGACTGGACCGGAGTAGGACCCGATATATCAGTATGTTCTAACTTCAGTTTCTTTGATTTCATCATTGGCCCGCTCTTGGAGAAAGAAACTCTCATGCTTGCTATAAATACATTATTCACAAAAATCCAGATCAACTGATTTCAGAACCTGAAGCTTATTCTTTGAAAGAAGGGTCTTCACACCTTTTTCGCTCATATGACAAAACCTACTGTGCCACAGACCTGCATCCACTTTGGTTCCAACCACATCAATGAAATCAGTCATTACATTGATCAGATAAATGGTGCCTACAGTGTTGCCTCGAGCTATTACTAATGCCTCCTGGTTGCCTTCCACTAATCACCTATGAAAGTTGTCACGAGTCCTGACTTTATCAGTTGGCTCACAGAGATAAGATTTCTTTCTAAACTAAAAACATGTCTGACTTCAGTAAGCTTCTAGAGTGTTTCATTCGTCAACTTGATATCAACATCACATTTTTCTATTACCGCAGGTCTTGTTATTTCCCAAATAAACCTTATTTAAATCACTTTGTGTGTAGTTTTTGAATACCTCTTATTTGGGCCAAGTATGAAAAGAGACACCTGAATTCATTATCTAAGATTCAATACTGACTAGGGATAACATCAGAGAGTCATTTTAGATTTCAACTTTGGAGACATTAGTAGAGAAACTACTATCCTGTCATCTAACACTAGCTTTCCTTAAGCTTTGCATTTTTTCTTGAAATGCTTCTTCTTACTACAGCTCTAGCATTCTTCTCTGCTTTTCTTGGGCTTTCCTTTCTTGGACTTGGATCTGCCTCTGCCTGTATTACTGCCCAGATTCCTTTTTCTGTTATCAGCATTCAACTTAGAACCTAAAAATTCATCATCATTGTTTTTCTGCAAACTTCTTCATTCAACATCTGTCCCACGATGTCATTGAAGTTCAACTTCTAAGTCCCTGAAGAATTACTCATCGCCGTCATAAAACCAACCCAGCTTTTCGACAAAGAAGATGGTAACAGCAGTGCTGTGATCTCATCATCAAACTTGTTCCTCATAGAACACAACTGACTCATAATAGTGTTGAAGTTATTGAGATGTTCTGCTACTGAACTGTTTTCCATCATCTTCATATTGAATAATTTCGTGATCAAAAAAATCTTACTAAAAGCAGAAGACTTTTCGTACATCTTGGTCAATGTCACAATTAAATCCACCATAATTTTCTCATTAATAATGTTGAACACAACAGATGATAAAAGTGACAACCTGATCAAACCTAGTGCGGTTCGATACAACACTTTCCATTCCTTCATAGACACAGACTCAGGCTTCTTTATGACTCATTGGAATGGCAAGTAAATTTTTTTTTAATACAACAAATCCTCCATCTGCGTTTTCCAAAAAACGAACTTCTTCACCTTAAACCTTGCTTTTTTCAGTCATAGCTCTTACTCGAATCGAACCGCGCTCTGATACCAGTTTTGTTGAGAATTCACTAAATAATTTTCAATGTTACAGCGGAATAGGATCACATGATTTAAGAAAACTGGAACATTAAATTTAAACTAGAAGCACAATAAGAAACAACCAGAAGAGAACACGTGAATTTTTTGTGAAAAAATTCGAGAACAGGAAAAAACCACAAAGCCATGCCATCATAGATCTCATTATAAATTTCAGAGAATTTTACAGAGGAATCACATAAATTTCTCCTCCACACACGAAAAAATTTACAATGCACCACTCCACACTCTTCGTACTGATCTGATGCAGAAACACATGTTGAATAACACAAGAATCTTTCTCACCAACACTTCTTACTTTCACCAGGATTTTGTTGATGAACAAACAGTAAGAGTTATGCTCCAAGCCCGCACATATGCCCCCCGAAATCGTGACATAAATAATAGTGCTTGTAGCGTTCGGATTTGGGCACTTGGGCGCCTACTTCTCTGGAAACAAGTGCCCCAGAGCCAGAAGTGGGCACCTAAGTGCCCAGTTTGGGCGCATGACTTCTACCCTCTCAGTCTGAGAACACTCAATGGGCGTTTAAGCGCCCATAGCCCGACACCTTGGCGCTGGGTGCACTGACTGCGTGGAAGCCAGCCAGCTTGCTGCTTATGGGTGCTACAATAGACCTAACAACTAACACTATCTGGTATATTTTAATACCTTACTGTTAATGAAGTCGATTGAAAAGTAACTTTTTCCATTTTGAATGACCTTGATTTTTCAGTGAAGTGGTCTACTTAACTAATGCTGTTGTGCTTGTAGAAAGCTGCTATTAAGAAGATGGAAATGGAAGCATCTAGAGAATTTCTTGCTGAACTTAAAGTTCTAACACATGTTCATCACCTAAACTTGGTAAGGTTTTATTCAAAATTTCCTTGTTCTGAAGCGTTTTCTATTATTCTTTAAATGCAATATGAACCTTCTTGTTTCTGTTTATGTGTGGCAGGGCAAACCCTTTTGCACATCTTGATCTTCCTCAGTGACATTTTTTTTTAATTATTTTTACCTTATGTTACTTTATTTTTTTTTGTTCCTCGCTTTTCCCCTTTTGTTGCAATATGTTTCTTTGGATGGTATTCTCATTCGATTTATTTTAAGAAAGGCAGAGGTAGACGTAGAAAAACTTGGGCATATTATATAAAAAATGATCTTAATTTATTAGAATTAAAACAAAATATGACACTCAATAGGACACAAGGAGAAAAGGATTCATGTAGCCTACTCCACTTATTGGGATAAAGGCTTGATGTTGTTAGATGGTATACACATTTATTTGTTTCTCTTAAGTTGTTAAATTCAGTAGTTGGAAGACATTTTCAATTTTATACCTCAAGGGGGATTTTTATACATAATTCAAATGCAGGTTCGACTAATAGGTTATTGCGTTGAAGGCTCCTTATTTGTTGTGTACGAATTTATTGAAAATGGTAACTTAAGCCAGCATTTGCGCGGATCAGGTAAAGAATAAGTTCAAGTTCTAGTGTTTTGCAAACCAATTCAAGTTATAGTACTTGAGGCCAAGATGCAAAATCTCACTCATACATTTTCTTAGGTAGGGATCCTCTTCCGTGGTTGAGTAGAGTGCAGATTGCACTTGATTCCGCAAGGGGTCTAGAGTATATCCATGAGCATACAGTGCCAGTTTATATTCATCGTGATATCAAATCGGCAAATATTTTGATTGACAATAATCTTCGTGCAAAGGTTTTTCTATCTTTGTTTCAGTGTGCTACAAATTTATCATACTTCGATATTTAAAGAACTTTCTTCTCACAGGTTGCGGATTTTGGGTTGACCAAACTTGCTGAAGTTGGTGGTGCAACCTTACAGACCCGTCTTGTTGGAACATTTGGTTACATGCCTCCTGAGTAAGAATCTTTTATTTCTTTGTTAAGCATCCTTTATTTCGTCGGCTCTGCTCTAAATTACTAAATTCTGATTCCTTTTTTCTTGATCCTTCTATTTTTATTTGCATCTGCGGTACCTTGCAACTAACTGCTATTTTTCTTATAATCCCCTACTCTCATTTCAACCACCAATGCATTGAATTTGGAAGGTGTAGCTAACCATTCACTCACGTTATTTCCCTCTCTAAGCTCCTAATTTCTCATGGTTCAGGATGAAGAGAGATGTTAGCCGCTACCTCGCTCTCTCCCTCTCCTTCTCTCTCTCTTTCTCATTGTCTCTATGAAATGTATGATCTGGACTGAAGTTAAATTTCATTAAAAAAAAATTGCAACTACTTGGTAAAGAAAGAATTACTAATGGACTCAATTGCTAATTATTGTACATATGAATGGGTTATTGGATAATTTAAAAGTAGTAGTGATCTAATAGCGCATTATAACAATGTACTTTGTTAATATACTCTTTCATATGGAATGCCTTAAAATATATGTAACACACCACATGATTTTCTGTGTTCTCTACTTTTTTCAAGTATCAGAGGCACTTGTAAAATATCTTAGTATCATTTAGATCATGTTAATATTGGTATTGGGATGTGGATGAATGGAGAATAGTTCAACATAGAATTTTAAAAAAAATTGGGTTCATTTTAACCACGTTGACCCATATATTTTGGCATAAGCTTACGGTTTGTTAGATGTACATCTATTAGTGCATTAAGCCCAAATTAAGCTCTATGTTGACAATGTAATCAGTTAAATTTTTTTCTGCTTTATTTATTAAGGAATATTTTGATTTATTTTGGTAGGGTTTATTTCTCGCCTTCTTACTTTTATTTTTTCAGGATTTATTTCTTTTCTTATTTTTATATATCCTTATTTGCTTGTTACTTGTGGTCCTTTTGTTATATATAGGATGACAATCTCTCACTTTTTTTTTTCTTACCAGATAGTATCATTTTGCTATTTGATGATCCTTTTTTAACTTATCTTCTATGAATGATCCCTTCACATTTGTGGAACTAAGACAACGTATTTTTAGCCTTCGAAGTAAAAAATTCTTTGGTTTCAATAGAGTCTCCATGAAATTTTATTAACAAGTGTGGGCTTTAATTTGTGATGACGTTGTTAAACTATTGTTAGATCTTTGTTTTGGGCTTGATTGTCTAGATAGAATATCTTTAGCTTTGATCGGTTTTTTATTGGAAAAGGAGATTCCTTTTTTAGCCAGTGATTTTAAATTGGCAGCTTTTTGAAAGATTCCCTCCAACCTTCTATAAATATTGGCTATTATGCTTGTCTTTTTTTTCTTAATGTTTGATGAATCTCAGTGTGCTTTTAGTTAGGGGATGGATTATTGATTGCATCCTAATAGCTTATGAACTATTCATGGTTTGCTATGATTAAAAAAGAAATTATTTCAAGACGGACTTAAAAAAATGCTTTTGATTGATTTGGATTTCACACTTCAGTTCTATTTCATAGACTTTGTCCTCTTCAAGTTAATGTCTTGGATCATAGAGATTCTTGTTAACGATCATTCTTCTTTTCTTGTTAGTGGCTTAATTGGTAAGCAATTTAAATGCTTTAGAGGATTTAGACAATTTGATCTTTCATCTCTACTCTAAATGACGGTTGGAGACGTTCTTAACAAAATGCTTTATAGTGTTCCTCTGATGAGGTTACAATGCTTGTGAAATTAGTTCTTATTTTAGTATCCAATTTGTTAACGATGCACTCTTCTCCTTTGGTGCTAACTCCAAGCAAGCCCTTTGAAGCTATTTCTCCACGTTTAAATGGGTTTTGGTTTGAGTTTCAATTTTTAATTGCAAACTTGAAAACTTTCCTTTTGAAATTTGGGAAATCCCCTTAACTCTTTCGAACTTCAAAACCAACCGGTGCTTCCAATCATTGATAAATTACAATGGAGCTTGGCCTTTTGGAGCAAATTCCAGTCCCAATGGGTAGAATGATTCTTATGATCAAGTGTTATCCTCCTCTATTGTATTTCTTTTTTATGTCTTCGTCAAGGGATCATTAAGAAAATTAATAGTATTGGGTGTAATTTCTTTCGAGAATAATGTTTGGAAGGAAGAAGTCCTTTTTCTTGTCATCTGGAAGTAGGTGTGTAAACGAACCAAACACGAACGAACAGAGCTTGTGTTCTTGTTCGGTTCGTTTGAAAGTTAGTTTGTTTGAAATAAGTTCGTGTTTGAAATTATTCGTGAAGTCACTGTTCGTGTTTGTTTCTTAACGAACGAGCCGAACACGAGCTGTTCGCAAACGACGAGCCTGTTTGACATCCTTAATATTAATTTATATAAATAATATATTATAGTAATTATATAACTTATATTATATAAATATATAATATACATATTTGTATATTACTAATATAGTATATTAATATATTATTATTATTATTTTATTATAAATTATAATTTATAAAATTTATTATTTTAAAATATCATAAATTTTTATATATAACTATTTTAAATTATTTTATATTTCGAACAATAACGATTTGAACACGAACGAACGCATCGCTGTTCATGTTTGGTTCGTTTAACTAACCGAACAAAAAAAAAATGTTCAAGTTCTTCATATTTACTTATCGAACGAATCAAATATGAGCTCATTGAGGAACCGAACACGAATTGTTCGAGAACAATGAGTTTTTTTACAGCAATATCTTGAAGGAATGTTGCAGGCTAAGACATTTTGACAGTTTTGGACTAATCCTAGAACTTAACAATCTCTCTTTTGGGGAGATGGATCTGGAAGATTTTGGAAAACTGTCATTCTCTCAACATTTCGATTATTCAGGAGAAATAGTTTTGGCTGAGGAATGACTGAGAATTCTGGAACGGTAGTTCTCATTTATCAAAGGGATTGAGAGAAGCGCTATTTTTTTCTTTTTTTGAAAAATCTTTTTCATACTTCTCATTTGATGATCTTTCCTTTATGTTCGCCTGATATTTGGATGGATATATGTTCTATGGTCACTATTCTCTGAAATCTCAGGCTGTTCATTGGCATAGAATTATCCCATCAACCTCATTTACTCAGTTGAAAAATGTTTTATGGTCACTATTCTTTGAAATCTCAGGCTGTTCGTTGGCATAGAATTATCCCATCAACCTCATTTACTCAGTTGAAAACTTGTGTTTTTGTTAATGAGAGCGGTATTATAATCCCAAGCTTTTACATTAAAAAATAAATTATGTCAAGCTACAAAATAACTTGATTTTTTCTAGTTTTTTGGGGTAATTTTCTATTTTCAAATTCGTTCCCTTTATTTATCCAGTAAATTTATTTTGCAACACATGCAGATATGCTCAGCTGGGTGAGGTTTCTCCTAAAGTTGATGTGTATGCCTTTGGCGTTGTTTTGCTTGAACTTATTTCTGCGAAAGAAGCTATTGTGAAGTCAGGATCTGCGTCGGAATCAACTGGATTGGTTTCTTTGGTAATTTATAAATTTCAATAATTTCCACTGATAATTGTAATTTTTCCTATTATTTAAAAAAAATAAAAAAGGAAAAAAATCTCTCTGGACTCTTATTAATCTCCAGTTTCTCGCAGTTTGAGGAAGCCCTTAGCCAACCTGATGCAAGAGAACAACTGAGGAAACTAGTTGATCCTAGGCTTGGAGTTGATTACCCTATTGACTCCGTACTCAAGGTAAATGCTGCATCCTACTTGAAACAAAAAAAAAAAATAAAATAAAATAAAAATAAAACAAAATAATAAAAAATACCGCATCATACTTAAAATGTTTTTTTTGTTAACAATTTTGCAACATAAATAAAACTGTTTAAAAGGGGTTATATGGTAACGAATCTATCGACTTTAGTAAATCCTATAAATCCGAATTATCCTGCCGGCAACAGGCCGAGATTTAAGATAAAAATGAGAATGAACTGGAACTTTCCAAGTCCTGGATTTAATATTGCCTTTTTTTTCTGTCCAGAAAGATTTAGGGTCTATTTGGGACAGCTGTTAATTTTATAATCTTCTGACAGATTATTCTGATAATTTGATAATCTGCAGATTATCAAAATAAGCTGGCTTGCTGTTTGAGACAGTTTATTCATAACAGCTTACTGGGAGCTGTTGTTGAATAAATGACAATTCTGCCTCTGTTTGGTTAAGCAGTTTGCAACATAACTGTTTATGAAAAATAATAGATAAAACAGATGTCTCAAAATATTACAATTTAGTTACAAAAATTAAAATACATTGCTCACCACTTGAAAAAAATCTGCTTTGTAAAAGCAATTTCTTTGTATATATGCATGAAAATCCTCCATAAAAAACATAGAAAATCAATTTCTCCATGAAATATCTGCTATGTAATCAAGCTCCCCCTTGAATAATTTTTTTAGGTTTCCTCCATAAAAAACATGAAAAAACATTTTCTCTGTGAAGCTTGATCACATGAAAGGAAAAAAAATTTTGAATCATAGAACTCGGAAAAAAATTCGAATCATTTCTTTACTTGAGACAGGAACCCTAAAATTGCGAATCATAGAACTCGGATGAGTATACCTCACGATCCACGAACTACAGAGGAGCGGGATCGAGGAACAGAGGAGATGGGAAAACTTGATCGCACAGTTAGGGCAAGCAACGACAGAGGAGCGGAATCAAGGGACAGAGGAGACGGGATCGAATGACTGAGGGGTAATAAGCTCACCCTAAGCGCGGAAGGCAGGTCTCTCGGAGCGACGAAAGATCCAGGGAGGAATAATGAAATACCTTATGTGCAGTAGCCGGCCGCTCGAGCGAACGCATAAAACAAACGGGATCACGGCGTTACGAAATTGTCGGAGCAGCATATAAGCTGCGCCAAACGGCCCTTAATCCAAGTCTGACTTAAATCTGTTACCATATAATCCCAAAATCTATGGCATTCTGTAATGGAATGCTGTAAAAGGATATAAAAAACATTAAGAACATTTTTTTTTAAATCATCTTTTAACTTTTACACCTATTTATGGTGTTCAAAAGCCCTTTAATGTAATAGCATTTACACATATATAATTTCTATTTTTCACCAGCTGTCTCAACTAGCAATGGCCTGTACTCAAGAGAATCCCCATCTGAGACCCAGCATGCGGTCCATTGTTGTTGCCCTGATGACCTTATCTTCTTCTACTGATGAATGGGATCTCGGCGCCTTATATGCCAACCAATCCATGCTTAATCTCATGTCTGGAAGGTAGCAGAACCACAAAATTTAAGCTCTTTTGCATTGCTCAGAAAATATTTGCAATCATTTTTTTTCATAGTTGTATTATGTCTTAAGAGTGAAAAGGGAGAATAGCATCCCATTCTGTGCATTTTTACAAGTATTTATATGTACAATTTGTGCTTCGGCGCCCAGAAAGGGCAAATAGTTTGTATATTTGTAGAAAGATCCTTGTTAGCTTGGAATCTGTAACCATTTGTGCTGATTTATGTTAATTAATCAGTTAAAAGTTTCTTTTGGCTGTAAAAAGAATTTCTGCCATAATGATACCGTCATATATTATATAACCAAAAAAAAAAATGTAAATTGGAATCTGTAACTGTTTGTTACTGATTTTGCAATTAGTTAGAAATTGTGTTGATTGTGTTGAAACCTACAGGTTTTGGTTCCAGCTGCTACTTTTCTGTGCCTAATTTGATTGCACCTGAAACTGCCAGTTTGGCGTAGCTTGTTATGATTTGGGATATATCAAATGGATTGTACAAATTTGTCGCAAAATTTTCTTTTTTACATTTATACCATCCAAATCTTTCATATCAGATAAAGAGTGTTACTGTTTTCACTTTGAAAAACTAAAATATACCTTTTTCATGTGTAGGCAATGGGTCATATATTAAAACATTGAAGCTTAAATGTTCGGTATGTAATTACACAAGAATTGAGTGGTATGCTTGTAATTTTTTTTTAATTTTAATTACTAAATGTGCAGTTTATCATAGACCTGAGTAGCTTAGATTTATGATGGTTTTACTAAGCTACCAGTTAAGGCCTGTTTAATTTTTCAATGAAAATTAATGTAAAATTAACCTGTACTTAGTTGAGCTAAATTTTCATCAACTGTATCTTATTAAGAAATCAACTTCGATTTATGGCTTGAGTTATTAGGCTGCTCCTTAAAGCTCATTTAATTTAAAATATGATGCGACTTTTCATTAAAAATCAATGTAAAATCCAATTATTGTTAGTTGAATGGAAATTAATTTGAAGTAGAATTTCATTAAGAGCATCGAACTTAAAAGTCAATTTGATTTATTATTACTTTTATAAATTTGATTAGTCAAATTTCTTAAGAAGATTTTTTTGGCAACAACTGTTATTAACTTTTGAATTAATTGGTTTTGTGCATTATTATTGTAGGAGATTACTTTTTTTGTTTAATTTGAAGGGCGGTGAAGTTACTGTCAAATTGAGCGAGTTCAGTTTTGGCTCATGTTCCGCTCGTTCAAAATTGATTAGTATTTGAAATTGCTCGTGAAGAATATGAGTGTGCTCGACTAAGTTTATATATCTTTGTTCATGTTCGATTCGAAATTGATTTGTCTGAACCAAACATGAGTCGCCAATTCTAACCAAGCGTTCACGGACGGTGCCAAACTATTCTAAATTGACTCTAATAATTTATATTACAATTATGGATCATTATAAGAAAAGGAAAATAACCAAAAGCTATAATGAATAACATAGCTCAGTTGGTTTGAGTGATTTGCTTCTTATACGTAAGGGAGTGGGTGTGGCTTTAATGGCAGGAATCACTGTAGGAAGATGGGCAGCCTAATAGAAATAGCAATTGAACATTTATACAAGTTATTTCTTATGTTGTGATGAGGACGACGACCGAAGGATATTTAATAGGTTAGCCAAAAGTTTGGAAATCGGGAATTTGAATGGATGGGGCAGCTCAATTTTGAGAATTAGAAACAAATCTCCTCCCCCTTTAATTTTTGGAAGGTGGAAGGTCAAAGGCCGGAAGGCGGAAGACCAAACGACGAGAGAATTTAAGCAAATTTGGGTTTTTTTTAATTATCATTTTAATGATTGCGTTAATTTTTAGCCATAAATATTAGTAATTTTTTAGCCTATAAATAGACAAAGGATATGACTATGGAGGTGGAGTCCCCATCCCTACTTAGCAGGTGATATGAGATTTCTCAGAAGAAGAAAATCATCCTCGGCCGCACAGCAGGTGACCGAAAAGATCATCTTCAAGTTGTGTTGCAGAAGAAAGTCATCGCCGTTTTATGTAGCGGGCAAGCAACGATATCTTATTTCGTGTTGTGGTGAGAATGAAGTTTTACTCAACCTGCGTAGCAAGTGACCAATGGGATCCTCTTTCGCATTGCGATGCACAAGAAATTCGTCTCTATCCTGTGTAACAGGCTAGTAATGAGATCTTGTTTATTGTTGTTGCGCACTCCGATAGAGATAAAGAAATGTTGTAGTTTTCCCGCCGTACTTCAAGGGGACGAATTTCATGTTGCTGTGACGGCGATATATGGAGAGGCCTTGAGGATCAGCAGAAGTATTGAAATTTTTGGGAATGTGATGCTAACTCTGCTGGAAGATGAGCTGATTTGTAGTAGCCCTTGTACAAATATATGTTGGTCCTTGTAGCATTTCAATTGTCTGATGTGACTTTTATACATTATGATGATGCGTTTGTTTGTACGTCTTTGACGTTACTTCTCAGGTTGTTGTGGCTTCTCAATCGAGTGAAATTCTGTAATTAAAGTTAACACATGCACTTTATAAAAAATAATTATATACATTTTCAGACTCGTGCTTTCTGAGATTTGTATCCTCTTAGGCGTGTATCTTTTGAGGCTTGCGCCTTCTTATGCTTATGCCTTCTACGAGCTTGAAATACATCGGTGTCATCTGAGGCTCATTGCATTCCGAGGTATTTGATGTACACGTGCCTCCTGAAGCATATAGCCTTTTGAGGTATTTGATTTACCTGTGCCTCTTGAGGTTTGTAGCCTTATGTGGTCTTTCATGTACTTGTGTCTTCTGAGGCTTGTAGCCTTTTGAGGTCTTTAATGTGCATGTGTCTTCTAAGGCTTGTAGCCTGCTGAGATTTTTGAGTGGAGACCTTGACAACCACTTGTCTCTTGGAGTCTTTCTAGTATTGACCTTATCTACTACTAGCTTCCCATTGAGACTTGTCTCTTAGGGTCATCTTCTAGGGGCATGGTAGCTTCCTAAAGAGTTTTTGCCTCTTAGGCTCGACACACGAGGTATCGTATCATCTCATCGAGGTTTGCCGCTTTGGCTAGACTTCTTGGGACGTGATAGCTTCCCATCAAGTTTTGCCTCTTGAGTTCGACTTCTACGATACCATATCATTCCATCAACTTTTGCCACTTGGGCTCGTCTTCCAAGAGTATCATATCATCCCATCGAGTCATGCCTCTTGGGCTCAACTTTCAGGGGCATGACAGCTTCCAATCCAGTTTTGCCTCTTGGGCTCAACTTCCAGTGGTAACATATCATTCCATCAAGTCTTGCCTCTTAAGCTCGACTACCAGGGGCATGGTAGCTTCCCATTGATTTTGTCATATGAACTCGACTTCCAGGGGTACTATATCATTCTATCGAGTGATGCCTCTTAGGCTCGACTTTCAGGGGCATGGTAGAGATTTTATCTGTCGCTTGCTCTCAATGGGACTTTTGACACAAAAATATTTCGTGAGAAAATAATAAATTTTCATTGAAATGACGGTTTAAAGTAATAAAAAAATTTTGCTAGAATAAAATTTAGAGTTTATAAGCCAATCTTTTACTAAAATAAGATAATTTGGAATTGTACTTCTCGTTTGATAACCCCGATGATTTTCTTCTGGTTCCCCTCACCTCGTTTTTGTATGTAGCGACCCAAGTGACATTGACGTATCAAACTTTCAATTTCTTTCTTCAGTTGAAAGCATCTTTCTGTTGAATGTTTTTTCACTTGGTGGAAATGATAATATTGAGATCCGTCCCTACCATTTTGGTTTTTTAACGATCTTGGTGACTTGACGACCTTTTTATCCTTGATGGTCATTAGGATGTTGATATATGATATGTTGAGTGGCGTGTATTTTTTTTCTTATCAAAACTCATGACTCAGTTGCAGTTTGAAATTTTTCTTTGTGGGATTTAATCGCTATCTTCGGCGTTATTCTTGTGCTTGCCCCCAATGGTTCCTTGTGTGCATCGATGACCTCATCTGTAGAGATTTGAGCTTCGACACGATGGACAAGATCGGCTTAAGAGTAAACTTTCTCCCACATCAGTGATGAGTAGAAAAGTCTTGAGTGGAGCCCTCCAAGAAAAGCTCCTTTTAGTAACTCTAGATCTACTTCTAGAATTTGATGGGCTTCAGTGGAGAACCTGCGGAAGCATTCCTTGAGGAATTCCCCCTCATTCTGAAAAACTTTTGATAAGTGGGATGAATCTTTAATAATCCTTCTATTTGCTATAAATTGCTCTACAAATAGTCTGACAAGCTCATTGAAGGTGTTGATGGTGCCCCTCTGAAGGGAGTAGAACCATGCACGAGCTTGCCTCTTAAGAGTCGTGGGGAATGCTTGACAGAGAAGCACAACAGAGGCACGATGAATGGGCATGACGACTCAATAATGATCGACATGCTCTTATGAGTCAGTTACCCCTTCGTAGGAATTGATATTTGGGAGTTTGAAGCTTGCTAGGATAAGGTGTTGGAAAACAACATCAGTCGAAGGAGAAGATTCTTGGAAGTTGTGACGAGCAGAAAAACATTCCCTTTTATCCAGAGGGAACTCTTCTTGAACCAGGCGTCGTAACTTATCACAAAAGATATCAGCAGAAGTGACATTAAGGCGGGCAGTGTCAGGTTAGCTGCATGAGACTGATGAGTGGAACTTGTAATGTTAAGAAGATTAGTGTCCTGTTTTGGTAGAGGAATGGTTTCAACATTAGAAGAGAACCCTTCCTGTTGAATGTTAAACTAGTGATAAGTAAACTCCATTAGGCTGTGTTTTTTCGCTCCCCGCGTAGGAGATGGAGGATCTCGTGTTGAGACTCCTCCATCCTACATATCGATCTTCCACAGAATGACCCAAGTCACTTTCGTCATAGGGGTAATGCCTTCCGGAGTAGGAGGATGCAGAGGTTCGATGCCCTTGGCTCTATGACTGTCTTTTGGAATGATGGGTGTTGGAGCGGGATGCTTCATTGTTGCGAGTGTTGCGCCTGGTGGCCATGCAATAGTTCTTGCAAGTATTTTTGTGGTGAGAGTGCTCTCTTCCATAGACGGTGCCAAATTGATGCGTGCTAGAAAATTCGCAGTTGTAGAATAATGGATTATCGTCTTAGCGTTGCAGGAGAATTCAACACACACTTAGATAAAAGAAAACACATAAAGGAAAAAAGCTACGGGGTCTGAACCAACTGTAAAAATATACTATAAGTTGATGATTACAGAGACTCTTTGTTCCACGGGCAGGAAATGGTTACAAAAACTTCTGAATTACGACGTCAACGTGCAGTTGAACTTATTGCAAGGAATTGGTGACGATCGATTGTGATCAACGACGGCGGGGCAAGTGGGGGACGACCAAGGTCGGCAGTGGCTGACGACGATCGACAGTGGTCGACGACGACAGTAGTGGTGCTGGACTTCAGCTTCTTCTCAAAGCTTCATACTCTTCATCAAGCCTCAAGCTTTCCTCCCCTCTCAAGAGAGGGCGAGACTTCTATGTATAGAGTCCCTGATGCAATTAATGATAAAATATGAACCACTTTGATTGGACGATTCAGAGAGTTTCCTTTGATTATACGTCGTTCTATGGACATTTGAGTGTCTTAATAATGTCAAAATCAAGCGATTTTGGGCTCGTCGGATTCGTCTTTGTCGAGACGTTTGATTCAACTATAAACTCGCTAGATTCAACATCCGTTTGACTTTTCAAAAATGTTCAAAAAGCTTCTAAAAGCATTTTAATGGCTTGATTTAGCTCAGATTGCACTAATTTTGGTATCGTTGGATCCATCTCGTCAAGTCTATCAGTTTGACTATAAGTTTGCTGAAATCAAAGCTCTGAATGAATTTCGATCAAAGTTTCAACATTTTTCGCTAAAAAGATGTATCAAGATCTGTGCAACTCATTAAGATCGGTGCGGAAATTTTGTCCCGGGCGTATCAAGCGTATATGTAAAAGTCTGTTGTGATATATGTAAATAATTACATTGGATATAATTGCTGTTTGCAAATCTTACGTATAAGTTCCTACATTTTTTCCTCCCAATATAAAAGCTCCTCACCTCTGCTAAATTTCGTAGGCTAATCGGCAAGTGCAGTGGAGGTGTGTAGGGCTTCAAATTCCTTCCCGATTCTTCTCTCTTCGGACGTTGATGGCCTTCCTACGGCTGCCTCTGATTCTCCGCCTCCGGCAAACCCTTGGCAGCAGCTCTTTGATCTCGCTTAATAGGTAGAGTTCTTCAATTTTGCATGTCGGAACGATTCGATGTTTATAGAGCTCTTTTCTCACAAATCCCTCTATCTTAATCACAGTCATAACCTTGGATCAGTTTCTTGCTTTTCAACTGGGAGTGGTTCAATCGAGTTCAACATCTCAGATGAGGAGAGTAGACGCCGTTTATACAACAGGTATTTATAGTTTTTTTTTTTTTTTGTTCTGTGAAATGATGCAGTTTCTTTTGCTCACGGCCTTTGCTTTTGTGTTGAAAATTAATTATTTATTTGTGGCACTGAATTTGCTTATCGGTTTCATTTCAGATTGTTGTACAGGAGCAGACAGAGAGGTTTTCTTGAACTTGATTTGATTTTGGGGAAATGGGTGGAGGAGAACTTAAGTTCTTTGGATGAAGCAAAAATTAGATCTCTTGTTGACGTGCTAGACCTGGTAATTGTGATTTGGCTGCTTAAACAATGGCATGTAGAAATTGTCTAGTATTGGACTTCTTATTTGAACCAAAGAAGCTTTTATTTATTCTAGTAAATCATTTTAAAGCTTATAGTTGTACTTGTTATGATCTATATGTAACTAACAAGCATCATCATTAGCTATTAAAAAGCATGAAAAGGCCCTATATTTAAATTCTTACGTGGAATATTGACATTATACATGCAAGGCTAAGTTCAAATTAATCCATATATTTTTACTAAACTGTAGGTAAAAAATGAAAAAAAATTAGCATAGAATGCTACAATTCTATTTGAAGCAAGAACAAAGGATAACTGAGCAAACATTATTTTGAATCATTTTGTTATTTATTCTAAATATTGATGATGTCAACTGAAGAATAAAATGTGATATTGTGAGGAAAGATATGAAATTTGAAAACAGATAATGATGTTAAATTTTGAGTTAATTTTTTAACCTTTAAGCACACAATATAGTCTGCAAATCATGTATTGTTTTTGGAGTAGATAAAATAAGTAAAACAGGTGATTTTTTTTCTTATCTTATAGTTTTAAACGCATGTATATTTATGCAGGGTTTAAAACTTTCAAAGTAAGTCCAGGGGAATAATACATTATCATATTGGGACTCTCAGGATTTGTTTTTTTTTTATTTTTATTTTCATGTTTTGTTATGCTTATCTGCTTGCTTATTTCCGTAGTTGATAGTGTTCTTTTTGATGTTTACATTGAGCTTTTACTCTAAACCATCGTTCCTTTTTTCATAATACTCCTTATAAAAGATGAGGAGATGACTGTTTTTTTTCAAATTTCTTCAAGTATATGGAATAAGAGTTTTATATATAAGAAGTTGGTTGCATTTGTGTTGTTGGATTTGTGATATCAAATAGTAGTGATGGTGAGTCTTTTTGGGGTACAATAAGGCCACTCTTAGATGATTTTAGAAAAGAAAAGCCTGTGATTTTGATTATTATCATAATTTTATTTTTCAAAATTTTCATGGACTGAAATATATAATCTCTCTTCCTGAAGCCTTGCAATGAGTAGTTCTGTATGATCTTGACAGTTTCAAAGAGGAAGCAAAACGGCATTTATGCACAAGACTTTTGTCCAAAACTGTATAATTATTTTAATTGGACTTGAAATTTTAGAGTTGCATTGCTTTTGTAATGATGCACTTTTGGCCATTATAATGGAGGTTAGTTTTTTTAACTACTACCAAGATATTTTTTTGAAAAATTTGTTAATATTGGTGTTATTGAGTATAATGTAAGATGCAGAAGTTCTAAGTAAAGCAGTTGGCTTTAATCTGGATTTAGATTTCATGTTTCTATAATGCAGTTTAAATACTTTGATTGGAGTTTGTGGTAAGGGTTATCAGGGAATTTAGGAGAAGGGGGTGAGAAATAGAGAGAAAGAGAGGGAGCAAAATATGTATAAGTTGTAGATTGAAGTGCAATTGAAAATAAAAACTCTGTTAAATTAAATATTTATATTATTTACATGAGCACATGTGATCACAAAATGAGAAGAGGAACAGAGACAAGAGGAAGATTTTATTTGCGATTGCCTTGAGCAAACTCAGCTCTTAACATATAAATAAACAAGACACATGCATATAACTTAGAGAGGAAGGTATCTTTCAGTTGACTATGCTGCTTTGTCAGTTAACTGACGGATGTTTTAGTCCAATGTAAAATAGGGCATTAAAAAAATATGCTAAGATTAGGAGATTTGTTTGAACTTTTTTGAAGTGATTTTATTAGTGAGTAAATTCTCTTGCAAAGCATATTACTTTGCTCTTTTATTCAGCTCTCTTCGTCAATTATTGATTATTTAGCTAGCTGGCTAATATGTTGGTTATTTTTGCTTTGGATACTGTGTGGTTTCATTAGAATATTAAATAATCTCTCTAAGCAAGGTTGATCTAAACCCAAAAAATCTTGTCCATTTTTTTTTTTGAGAAAATCTAATTAAAGGCTAATACCGACCATGTTTTTTATTTATGGAATGTCATTTTTTTTTTCTTTTTTTTTGTCATGGAACATTACAATTGGAAGAGACGGCCTAACCAAGATTTGTGTTTAGCGGCAATTCTCATTAAAGTGGTAGCAATAAATTACCTCCAAAGAAAATCAAATGTAATCAAGATATTAATTTTCATTAATAAAAATTATTTAAAGGTACATTATTTAAGACTCGGAGATTTCTCTTAATTTGCTATGGAATAATTTTATAAAAAAAGTATCCACATGAAGCCATGGATCAAATCATGTTTTGTTGATTTAAAGCTAATCAAAAGCGATGTTTAGAGTGATTTGTTCCTCTAGTTAGACACCCTTTGACAAAAAAATTGATCAAGTGAGCTGCGACATCGAAGAAGGCACAAATTGGTGACAAATAAGTTGCTCATGGAGCTTTACAATATACTGAGGCGAGTGTAATTAGAAACTAACCAGCTACTCTGTAGTCAATAGTTCATAGAGAGAGGATAACAATTCAGCAAAGCAATTTACTTTCTAAAAGAATCTACTAAAAAATATATCACTTAAGAAAAGTAAGACAAATGTCCTGATCGTAAAACAGCTATTTGATGCCTCTCTCTATTTTGAAATAAAGCATCCATTAGCTTTTTAATAACCACTTAGAGACTGTTTGGTTTGGAGAATTTGTAATGTATTCTAATTCTCTTATAGTATTTTAGAAAATTAAGTATTTTGTACAAAGAATCACAAATATAATGTAAAGTATGAATGAATTTGAAGTTTACACCTTACTTCGTTTTGGTTGAATTTAGAATTCGGCTGATTTGACCGAATTTGAGACATCGTTCATTAATGTAAATGTTATCGACAAACTGCCGCATGCAATTACCCCCCGCTACCGATCGCCTTCGTCACAGCCTCCGCCAGCCGCCAGACTTTGACTGTCAGCCAGCGCTTGTTGTCGGGCGCCGG